CTCCCTTTGATTTAATTATTGAATTCAATTTCCCCCAGGTATTTAAGCCGATATTTTAATTACTAATTATATCACATGGTTGCTCGGTCACCTGTCAAGGTCATCTGCACGTGCAGACTTGACGAGGGTGAAGTGGTACATGCACTCTCTCCCCTCCCCGTGGTCTAGTGGTAGACAGCACCTCAGCAAACCTGAAAGTCTCGCGTTCGGAACCCGGGCTCGATACAGTTATTGTCCTCTGGCTAGTGGGCTGAAGCTTGAGACAGTAAACGAGAGAGTGACAGAGAGAGAGACAGAGAGAGAAAAAAAATGGAAGTCACTAAAAGATCTACTCTCTCTCTCTCTCACCTACAGTTTCTGTCAAGCCCCCCCCCCCCCCCTCCTCACCTCTCTCACCTACAGTTTCTGTCAAGCATCTCCCCACCTGAATATACTTTTACCAGCCTGCGCCTCCTAACACCCGGATAATTTAGTCGCCCCCCCTCCCCACCCAGGAAATGTCTGAAAAAAAAACACTGCTCCCATATAAAAGGTGACGCAAACACCATTTATGTGACAATAGCACACACCACGGGATACCACGGGACACTAGCACCAACCACGTGATACTAGCACCGACCACGTGATACTAGCACCAACCACGTGACACTAGCACCGACCACGTGACACTAGCACCAACCACGTGACACTAGCACCAACCACATGACACTAGCACCAACCACGTGACACTAGCACCAACCACGTGACACTAGCACCAACCACGTGACACTAGCACCAACCACGTGACACTAGCACCAACCACGTGACACTAGCACCAACCACGTGACACTAGCACCAACCACGTGACACTAGCACCAACCACGTGACACTAGCACCAACCACGTGACACTAGCACCAACCACGTGACACTAGCACCAACCACGTGACACTAGCACCAACCACGTGACACTAGCACCAACCACGTGACACTAGCACCAACCACGTGACACTAGCACCAACCACGTGACACTAGCACCAACCACGTGACACTAGCACCAACCACGTGACACTAGCACCAACCACGTGACACTAGCACCAACCACGTGACACTAGCACCAACCACGTGACACTAGCACCAACCACGTGACACTAGCACCAACCACATGACACTAGCACCAACCATGTGACAATCCCCAGACTTTACTCACGCCATTGTCCCGCCACACGTGCAACACAAGCCTCACGCGAGATGCGCGCGCCAGGCTCGCGCGAAACACCGCCCAGCTGAGTTGTCCCACCTGAGGGGGGAGGGGAGGGGAAGGGGGAGGGTCTATCCTGTCCCCCGGGCCAGCAGACGTGAGACTACAATCCCGGTTAATGTATGCGTGTAGCGGGCACGGGGTGCAGGTGCAGGTGCAGGGTGCAGGGTGTAGGGTGCAGGACGCTACAGCTGGGCTGACCATAAACATTGACCAGTCTAGAGGGGACCCGACACACGGCGGCAATCGCTGTGTTGCCGCACGGCAAGATTTACAAGACACGGCGGCAATCACAATGTTGCCGCACGGCAAGATTTACAAGACACGCCGACAATCACGGTGTTGCCGCACGGCAAGATTTACAAGACACGGCGGCAAACAAGGTGTTGCCGCACGGCAAAATTTACAAGACACGGCGGCAATTTCAGATTGCTATCAATCACTAAACTTACAACAAATCAACTTTGTTACAACAAATCAACTTTCTTACAACGAATCAACTTTCTTACAACGAATCAACTTTCTTACAATGAATCAACTTTCTTACAACGAATCAACTTTCTTACAACGAATCAACTTTCTTACAACGAATCAACTTTCTTACAGCACATCTTTTTGTTGATGTGTACAGGGAAAAACTTGATAAAATCAAAAAACACTCGAGCATCAAAAATGGCCAGATCGAATCCCCAGTCACGTGAGCTGTATCGCTGACTCGCCATTGGACCAATCTGAAATTCTTCAAGAGCCGGCAAACATCGGCCAACTGTTGATTGTCTGCTGGCTCCATGCATCACTCACCTCCCCACACCCTCCCCACACATCACTCACCTCCCCACACATCACTCACCTCCCCACACAAGTACACCCTTCAAGTGACAGGGACAAACCAAATTAATGATGTAATTGGAAGTGGGGGGGGGGGAGGGGGAGGGGAACTAATCACTGCTGGCTCGCAACTGGAAAACAGAAGGAAATATATGCGAGGAGGGGGGGGGGGGGGGTGAGGGGGGTTTTGAGGGGAGGGGTCTATGGGGGGAGGGGGTCTTTGGGTAGGCGGTATCGGTGGTGGATATCACATTGTGGTTAAGATGGCGGTGTCGGTGGTGCAGGTTTTTATTCTTCAGTTGGATGGTGCAGTGTTTGTGGGAATTCTGTCAGCACATCAAACTAGGCACATCAACCTGTCAGGATCTAGGCTTCTCGACCTAGGCACATCAACATAGGCACATCAACCTAGGTACATCGACCTAGGCACATCGACCTAGGTAAATCAACCTAGGCACATCAAAGTAGGCACATCAAACTAGGCACATCGACCTATGCACCTCGACCTAGGCACATCGACCTAGGCACCTGCAAAGATCTAGGTACATCCGCCAGCTAAGACCTAGCAAAATTAACTGAGGCACATCAACATTTTACGGACCTAATTGGCATATCAACATTGTCGCACCCAGCCGTATCAACATTGTCCCACCAAGCCGTATCAACATTGTCGCACCAAGCCGTATCAACATTGTCGCACCTAGCCGTATCAACCTGGATTTTAGTCCGCGGTTTTTTTGTGTCAAGATTAGGTCTAGACGACTATCAAGTTTAGATCTGTGACCTAATGTCAAGTCTATAAAACCAACAAAACGCCCGCACCTAGCGCCCCCCCCCCCACCACGAGGGGGGAGAACTGCGCCATGACGAGCCTTGACAGAGCTGAAGGTGAGCACTGAGTCGCGTGTGGCTAGCAGAGACGGATGTGCCGAGCTCACTGCTGTAATGACTGGCAAGATGGCGCCCGGCCAGTGCAGCACGTTTTAAATTGCGCCGTGTGTGTGCGCGTGTGTGTGCGCGCGTGTGTCGGTTCGCCTGCCATGGAGGCGGTCAACCATGCGATGAAGCCAAGCATATCTTTTATAGACAGGTAAAACACACTTTCTTTCAAATTTTACCGTTGCTTAGCAACGGCGTACATCGTGCGACTATCTCGTCTTCCGTGAAATGTTTCACCAGGAAGTGACGTCACACTACGGTAGGGTGTGGTCCTTAGGTCACAAGTACCCATCCAAGGGTCACCTATAGACAAACGTGATGTATAGGTCATCCATATGTAATCCGTAGGTCACCCATATGTAATCCGTAGGTCATCCATATGTAATCCGTAGGTCATCCATATGTAATCCGTAGGTCACCCATATGTAATCCGTAGGTCATCCATATGTAATCCGTAGGTCATCCATATGTAATCCGTAGGTCATGTAATCCGTAGGTCATCCATATGTAATCCGTAGGTCAACCATATGTAATCCGTAGGTCATCCATATGTAATCCGTAGGTCATCCATATGTAATCCGTAGGTCACCCATATGTAATCCGTAGGTCATCCATATGTAATCCGTAGGTCAACCATATGTAATCCGTAGGTCACCCATATGTAATCCGTAGGTCACCAAAATTAGATTCCGGCATTTTGTGGTATTGCCGGCAGTTTCCGGCGTGTCAAGAGACCGGCACTGGCCACGGTGTTTGGTTATTCAAATGTTGTCACCGTGAGTGCACTATGTCCCAGCCGCCTTCACCGGTGGGGGGGGGGGGGACCTCCGGTGGGGACTCTCGAGTCCCTCGCGATTTGTTTGACGTCCATATCCGTGAGGTGTAGGGCGGGGGGGGGGGGGGTGTTAGCCTGTGAAGGGAGATTTTTTTCTGTCTGATTGAGAGAGGAAATAAGCGTTCGTGTATGCAGACACACAGACTGACACATACACGAAGATATTATATATATATATATATATATATATATATATATATATATATATATATATATATATATATATATATATATATATATATATATATATATATATATATATACAGTAGCCAGTACGACTGACCTTGATCGCCGGGCCGGTACAACTGACATCTAATGACTCTAAAAACTGACCTTATTGACCCCACTTTTGGCCACCCACAAGTTTTGCCAACAGGCTCTGGAGGTCATAGGTCAACGTGACCTCATTTTTGTTGTACGACACCTGTCTTAGAATGAAATCTCCTAGCCCACCCCCCCAGTTGAAGGTTCTGAGTGTGATAGGTCCCTGTACACCATTGTGTCCCACCTGTACACCTGTGTGTCCATTGTGTCCCACCTGTTAACACCTGTACACCTGTGTGTCCATTGTGTCTCACCTGTATACCTGTGTGTCCATTGTGTCTCACCTGTACACCTGTGTGTCCATTGTGTCCCACCTGTTCACACCTGTGTGTCCATTGTGTGCCACCTGTTAACACCTGTACACCTGTGTGTCCATTGTGTCCCACATGTTAACACCTGTACACCTGTGTCCACTGTGTCCCACCTGTTTACACCTGTGTGTCCATTGTGTCCCACCTGTTAACACCTGTACACCTGTGTGTCCATTGTGTCTCACCTGTACACCTGTGTGTCCATTGTGTCCCACCTGTTGACACCTGTACACCTGTGTGTCTATTGTGTCCCACCTGTTCTCACCTGCTATAGCTCTTGTGTTAAGAGATTTGTTCCGTGCATATTTCTGCCAGTGGTTTGTTCTAGTTCTTGTGTTCTACATTCCTGGATTAATTTCACGTGACTTAAGATTGACCTAGTTATGTGTACGAACCGGATGTGAGGTTTTCCCCGTGACCTTGAGAGACCTTTGCCATGGTGATCGAGCGTGAGCGTGCCGTGATGGCGAAGACCCTGGGCTCCTGTATTGTGTACAATAATTCTCCTTACTCTTCCCCCTCCAGGGGCCTGGACTATGGCGCGGCGGACAAGAGGGCGTCGGCCATGCCGTCACAGGGGTCGCTCTTCACCAACTTCGAGGACGTTCAGGTAGGTCCCACATGCAGCACGGCTCAAAATGGCGGACGGCTACACCTTGGCACCTTCGTTAACAGAACCGTCCGCCATTTTGGTGTCCTATTTTATTCTTAATTTTTAAAACCTACATCTCATAGAAACAATCATACAATCATACAATCAACATCACCACACCAACATTCCACCCCTAACACCCCAACAACACCATCAGCATAAATCTACATCTATCTAGGACAATAACCTGACATGTCCAAGTAAGTATCCTTTATATACGTCGTCAACATCCTTTATACACGTCATCATCCTTTATATACGTCGTCAACATCCTTTATACACGTCGTCAACATCCTTTATATACGTCGTCAACATCATTTATATACGTCGTCAACATCCTTTATATACGTCGTCAACATCCTTTATACACGTCGTCAACATCATTTATATACGTCGTCAACATCCTTTATACACGTCGTCAACATCATTTATATACGTCGTCAACATCCTTTATATCCGTCGTCAACATCCTTTATATACGTCGTCAACATCTTTTATATACGTCGTCAACATCCTTTATATACGTCGTCAACATCCTTTGTATACGTCGTCAACATCCTTTATATACGTCGTCAACATCCTTTATACACGTCGTCAACATCATTTATATACGTCGTCAACATCCTTTATATACGTCGTCAACATCCTTTATACACGTCGTCAACATCCTTTATATACGTCGTCAACATCCTTTATATACGTCGTTAACATCCTTTATATACGTCGTCAACATCCTTTATATACGTCGTCAACATCCTTTATATACGTCGTCAACATCCTTTATATACGTCGTCAACATCCTTTATATACGTCGTCAACATCCTTTATATACGTCGTCAACATCCTTTATATACGTCGTCAACATCCTTTATACACGTCGTCAACATTTTTTATATACACGTCAACATCCTTTATATACGTCGTCAACATCCTTTATATACGTCGTCAACATCCTTTATATACGTCGTCAACATCCTTTGTATACGTCCTCAACATCCTTTATATACGTCGTCAACATCCTTTATACACGTCGTCAACATCCTTTATATACACGTCAACATCCTTTATACACGTCGTCAACATCATTTATATACGTCGTCAACATCCTTTATATACGTCGTCAACATCCTTTATACACGTCGTCAACATCCTTTATATACGTCGTCAACATCCTTTATATACGTCGTTAACATCCTTTATATACGTCGTCAACATCCTTTATATACGTCGTCAACATCCTTTATATACGTCGTCAACATCCTTTATATACGTCGTCAACATCCTTTATATACGTCGTCAACATCCTTTATATACGTCGTCAACATCCTTTATATACGTCGTCAACATCCTTTATACACGTCGTCAACATTTTTTATATACACGTCAACATCCTTTATACACGTCGTCAACATCCTTTATATACGTCGTCAACATCCTTTATATACGTCGTCAACATCCTTTGTATACGTCCTCAACATCCTTTATATACGTCGTCAACATCCTTTATACACGTCGTCAACATCCTTTATATACACGTCAACATCCTTTATATACACGTCAACATCCTTTATATTCGTCTTCAACATCCTTTATATACGTCGTCAACATCCTTTACATACGTCGTCAACATCCTTTATATACGTCGTCAACATCCTTTATATACGTCGTCAACATCCTTTATATACACGTCAACATCCTTTATATTCGTCTTCAACATCCTTTATATACGTCGTCAACATCCTTTACATACGTCGTCAACATCCTTTATATACGTCGTCAACATCCTTTATATACGTCGTCAACATCCTTTATATACGTCGTCAACATCCTTTATATACGTCGTCAACATCCTTTATATACGTCGTCAAAATCCTTTATACACGTCGTCAACATCCTTTATACACGTCAACATCTTTTATACACGTCAACATCCTTTATCTACGTCGTCAACATCCTTTGAAGATGACCTTTAAAGCCTAAACCTGGTCTGTATGGAACAGGTCCTGAAGTGCTTCAGTAATGGCACCTTATATCTACAGCGGCTGTCATACATTAGCTTTCATACAACAGCGGCTGTCATACATTAGCTGTCATAGGACAGCAGCTGTCATACACAAGGTGTTATAGGACAGCGGTTTTCATACAACAGCCGCTGTCATACCTACGTATACCAAGTGCTCCTAACCAACCAATGTGCCAGCATTCATGCCGCTGCCGTTCACACCCCTCCCCCTGGGACACGCCTCAGAGCGCGTTCTTCAAGTCCAAAAAGTCGTCCGTCTAGCCGACTTAATACAAATTTGAATTCTAAAATTCTAATTTGACTTACCAAATAGTGCACAGACAAGAAATTCTATGCTGTATGTGGCAAGACATGCATCTTGTTGTATGTCGGGGTTTCCAACATTTCACGTCTCGTGACGTCATCCTGCATAACATGTACGTCATGGTGTGGTGGACACACGTAACATGTACGTCATGTGTGTTAGACACACTTAAAATCTAGGTCACAGTGTGCTCAGCACACTCCACTGTGTGAGCAAGTAAATAACTCAGCTGGGATCCCATTACAAACATTGTCAGGATTCTTTGATTGATATTCACATTCTGTAAAAATGTGACGTCAATTTGGATTGATGGAGCCTGGCCAGCAGAGGCAGTGGCTGTAACTTAAGGGGCTGTAACTCTAGGGGCTGTAACTCTAGGTGCTGTAACTCTAGGGGCTGTAACTCTAGGGGTTGTAATTCTAGGGGCTGTAACTCTAGGAGGGCTGTAACTCTAGGGGCTGTAACTTAAGGGGCTGTAACTCTAGGGGCTGTAACTCTAGGGGCTGTAACTCTAGGAGGGCTGTAACTCTAGGGGCTGTAACTTAAGGGGCTGTAACTCTAGGGGCTGTAACTCTAGGGGCTGTAACTCTAGGGGCTGTAACTTAAGGGGCTGTAACTCTAGGGGCTGTAACTCTAGGGGCTGTAACTCTAGGAGGGCTGTAACTCTAGGGGCTGTAACTTAAGGGGCTGTAACTCTAGGGGCTGTAACTCTAGGGGCTGTAACTCTAGTAGCTGTGGGGCTGTAACTCTAGGGGCTGTAACTAGGGGCTGTAACTCTAGGGGCTGTAACTCTAGGGGCTGTAACTCTAGGGGCTGTGGGGCTGTAACTCTAGGGGCTGTAACTCTAGGGGCTGTAACTCTAGGGGCTGAAACTCTAGGGGCTGTAACTCTAGGGGCTGTGGGGCTGTAACTCTAGGGGCTGTAACTCTAGGGGCTGTAACTCTAGGGGCTGTAACTCTAGGGGCTGTAACTCTAGGGGCTGTAACTCTAGGGGCTGTGGGGCTGTAACTTTAGGGGCTGTAACGCTAGGTGCTGTAAGTCTAGGGGCTGTAACTCTAGGGGCTGTAACTCTAGGGGCTGTGGGGCTGTAACTTTAGGGGCTGTAACTCTAGGGGCTGTAACTCTAGGGGCTGTAACTTTAGAGGCTGAAACTCTAGGTGCTGTAAGTCTAGGGGCTGTAACTCTAGGGGCTGTAACTCTAGGGGCTGTAACTCTAGGGGCTGTAACTCTAGGGGCTGTAACTCTAGGGGCTGTAACTGTAGGGGCTGTAACTCTAGGGGCTGTAATTCTAGGGGCTGTGGGGGCTGTAACTTTAGGGGCTGTAACTCTAGGGGCTGTAACTCTAGGGGCTGTAACTCTAGGGGCTGTAATTCTAGGGGCTGTAATTCTAGGGGCTCTGGGGCTGTAACTCTAGGGGCTTTAACTCTAGGGGCTGTAATTCCAGGGGCTGTAACTCTAGGGGCTGTGGGGCTGTAACTCTATGGGCTGTAACTCTAGGGGCTGTTACTCTAGGGGCTGTAACTCTAGATGCTGTAACTCTAGGGGCTGTAACTCTAGGGGTTGTAACTCTAGGGGCTGTAACTCTAGGAGGGCTGTAACTCTAGGGGCTGTAACTCTAGGGGCTGTAACTCTAGGGGCTGTGGGGCTGTAACTTTAGGGGCTGTAACTCTAGGTGCTGTAACTCTAGGGACTGTAACTCTAGGGGCTGTAACTCTAGGGGCTGTAACTCTAGGGGCTATAACTCTAGGGGCTGTAATTCTAGGGGCTGTAACTCTAGGGGCTGTAATTCTAGGGGCTCTGGGGCTGTAACTCTAGGGGCTGTAACTTTAGGGGCTGTAACTCTAGGGGCTGTAACTCTAGGGACTGTAACTCTAGGGGCTGTAACTCTAGGGGCTGTGGGGCTGTAGCTCTAGGGGCTGTAACTCTAGGGGCTGTAACTCTAGGGGCTGTAACTCTAGGGGCTGTAACTCTAGGGGCTGTAACTCTAGGGGCTGTAACTCTAGGGGCTGTGGGGCTGTAACTTTAGGGGCTGTAACGCTAGGTGCTGTAACTCTAGGGGCTGTAACTTTAGAGGCTGAAACTCTAGGTGCTGTAAGTCTAGGGGCTGTAACTCTAGGGGCTGTAACTCTAGGGGCTGTAACTCTAGGGGCTGTAACTCTAGGGGCTGTAACTGTAGGGGCTGTAACTCTAGGGGCTGTAATTCTAGGGGCTGTGGGGGCTGTAACTTTAGGGGCTGTAACTCTAGGGGCTGTAACTCTAGGGGCTGTAACTCTAGGGGCTGTAATTCTAGGGGCTGTAATTCTAGGGGCTCTGGGGCTGTAACTCTAGGGGCTTTAACTCTAGGGGCTGTAATTCCAGGGGCTGTAACTCTAGGGGCTGTGGGGCTGTAACTCTATGGGCTGTAACTCTAGGGGCTGTTACTCTAGGGGCTGTAACTCTAGATGCTGTAACTCTAGGGGCTGTAACTCTAGGGGTTGTAACTCTAGGGGCTGTAACTCTAGGAGGGCTGTAACTCTAGGGGCTGTAACTCTAGGGGCTGTAACTCTAGGGGCTGTGGGGCTGTAACTTTAGGGGCTGTAACTCTAGGTGCTGTAACTCTAGGGGCTGTAACTCTAGGGGCTGTAACTCTAG